TCCGACCTCCGACGACGCCTCTTCCCCTGGGTGAATCTTCACTTGAGCATCTTCTTGGGACTCACGGTGAAATCCCGAGTCACCACAAGATCCGGGCACGCGCACCATTGTGGTGTAGCGGAATCAGCAAAATCTGCGAGATTGCCAGATCCAACTTACCAACTGCACCCAGACACCGACTAACGGAGGGGGTCCCTCAATGATCCGTGTTCTGCTGAACTTTCCTCACCTTGTGTACCCGTCGGTAGGGCGGGATCTTGCTCTCTCGGTAACGTCCGAAGAGTTCAAGTGGTGAAGCTTGAGTGTCTTGGCGAGACGTGGGGATGGGGTGGAGCAGCAGTGGAAAATCTTCACTCTGCGTCCGTGGATGGTTCCGTATCCTAAGCGAATATTCGAGCTTATGGATCCGGGGCCTAGATCGTGGATCTGGCCGTAGGGTTGCCTTGCGGGTGTGTTCCCTTGCCTTTGTAGTTCCTTTGCGTCGTACTTGCCGCCTCCTGTGACGGGATCGTGAGAGTTGAGAACCTCTAGGGTGTAACCGACCAAGTAGTAAATTCGGTTAACCTGTCGGATCTGCACGTGTATAGGAAAGCTCACTAGGTTGTAGGATCTGGCCAATGTATTATCCAGTTATCGCTACCAACACTAGATTCGCAATTCCTAACCTTCACGGAGCTCGTACGGCCAATGTAGTTCCGGTTCTTGAGGGCAGGAAGGCACTTGTGTGTTACTGTGCAAATAAAAGTCTGTATTGATACGTAAGCCTATACCTGCCTGGATTTCTACCTTCTGTGTGTTTTACCTGTTAAATCCCTTACCAGGCTCGGCTGCATGTCCCTTCTTCCCTTGGCCCATCATCCCAGCTGTGTTATCTTCAGATCCACCGGAACCATGACGTAATCATCATGGTCACCCTATTATGGGTACACTCATCCGGATCCAGGTCGCTTGGACCCCCTTCACTGTAAGTTTGCACTCGCCGTGGATCCGAGCTCTCCAATCATCCAACATCATCTTGCAACCGTCTGTGATCTCCATTGTCCCACGAAAGTTCCAGATCCACTGCATCCATCATCCCTATACCCTGGATCCAGGTCCCTCAAGGCGGGATCCTCCCTCCTTGGATCCGAACTCGGAAGTATGGGATCCGGGGTACCTCGCGGTGGATCTTGACTCTTCATTAGCCGTGGCTACTAGATCCACCTTCAGAGGGCACCGACCATCCTTCCTTCATAGGATCCACACCCGATCCACTCTTGTATAGTATATCCCATATCCATCTTAGTGAATCCCGGTAAGGGTGGATCCGAGGTAAGTCTTGGTGGATCTTGCCTTCTCGTACATCGCTCAAACCAGATCCATCGTCATTTCATACGGGGTGCTGCTCGTCATGGCTAATCCACCACCGGCAACTTGCATCCGTGCCACCAACCCAAATCCTCTCTAATCACTTGAAATTGTCACTGATGCGGGATAGTGACCCCGCGTCAGGCCCATTCTCTTATTTCTGAGAAAGCACTTCACCACAATATTTGTATACTTGATTAGTTATTAGGAATAGACCCGAAAGGGTAAGCTTAAATACAGAACATAATTTCCACTCAAGCACACAGAGCGACGTCCGGCTTCAAGTTAAGCGTCTGGTCAAGCTTGTTTGAGTGTGTTATGCCTGTCGGTGAACTCGAAGCTCTGTAGCGAGGGTTCATCCGGCAAGGCCAAGAGACTGTGTATTTTGGCCGATTACTATCGGGAGTTTTACGTGACAGCTTAT